GAGGCCTAATGTGTAAGCTCAGAGCTGCTCCACTCTGAGGGAGGACCTCAGAAGTGTATAGTGTGCATATACCCTGCAAGCATCGGATCTAAACATTCACATCCTGTCATAAATAAGACTTCCTGTGGAACATGCCATGTCACATGGTAAGACTTTTTTAAAAAGCAAATCACTCCCAATTGAGGAGATTTTTCTCATAAAAGTTGTTTCGAGCATTTACTACATACAAATTAAAGATAGAAAAGGGGAAAAAAATTTCTCAGCATCTTAGTAATTTTAATGTACTCAATTAAATCCACATAAACTACACCCATTTCCAGTTCAGACTCCATCTGGTTCGTATGATGTTTCATATTGTCACTGTTGAAAGAATTTTCCCAGGAAGGAACAAGTAAGTGTAGTCAGCAGCTTTCCAATTTGCAAATATACAGTCAGTAACACTTTCTCAGATGCTGATGTGCACACTCACACTTTGAGCTCTTGCTGAGTAGAGGTTTCTGACACCAGCCAGGCCCTGAGGCCAAGTCAGACAATGAAATGATAGTCGTAAGCTCTTCTCTGGGCCATCTGCAGTGACATTCTCCTTAACCAGTAACTACTCTGATCCTCACCTCTTACTAGAACAGGAACGGGAAAGTCAGGTTCACAATATTTACAAAGCAAGCATTCCTGTTTCCATTTGTAAATCACTGTTTGCTCATTATATTGTCCATCCTTTTTATGGTGATAAAATTGATGTTTGCTTCTGTCTATACTTTGGTATCACAAGCAGTTCTATCCAGCTACCTATGAAAACATAATCTTTATTCTTGAATATGTGAATGAATTAGGTATCTGAGAAAGAGGAGCCCAACTCTGTTCAATGGAGGATGTACAAAAACTGTATATCCTGTATGACAATTCCAGATGCAATATTCTTAGGTGTGAGGCCTTCTTTGGGGGAAATTCAGCTGAGATTCCCATTTGTATTTGCTTTCTTTAGACAGTATTTTTAAACCAATATGTATTATAGACATCCATTTGACTAGCCACCTTCATCTGTCAGCCATCACCTCATCCTAGCCACCTTGGCTGTAGTATGAAAAGGAGGGTAATGTGGGAAAAGATCAGACTAGTTTAATTCATCTGCTAAATACATTTTCTTAAAAAGAAAGTACTGTGATAAATTATGCCTAAGCAGCAGCTAAGGTAGCATCTGCATCTGTAGTTTCTACAAGCCTTAATAACCAAGGTACACTCTGTACTCAGGAGAGTGAGAAATCTTCTGAAAACGATTGTTTGTGCACATCACTCAAAGCAGGCATCCGTGATGGAGAAACCACTGATCTTTAGCTTTGGACAACCATGCTGCTTTTCTGGTTTTGCACTTGCATCTATTTCCTTTTTTAGCTGCTTAGCTGTGTGATGAATTGTAATGGGAGTAGTTCTGGGTAATGCAAGTAAGAGTGGGCTAAAGCAGGCGAGCTGGTACATAAATTGGGCTGTTTGTCACAGCTTTTAAGTTGCTTAAACAGCCACACTGATGAAATGTTGGTAACCATCTGCTACCAACATTTGTAAATAAATATAAACCAACCTAAATATTTCCTGGTTTGTTGCTCTGTTTCAGGCATGGGTCTCTTTTTAGAGGATTTTTTCTTAATCTACATGTAGTTTATGCACAAGCTTAATTTCTTCAGACTGTTTAGCTGCCTGGGGGTGATTTCACTACACTGTTCTTTGGTATCCCTGAATGCAAATTACACATGACTGAACAGAGAGGGAAGATGCCTAATTCTGATGATGATGATTATTGATATTATTTATCAGTGGCAAAGTAAACTGTTAAACTGTAAATTCTTCATGGCAGACTGATTAGAGGGATTAATTGTAAGCTTTCTTTATGTGAATTTATTAGGCAAATCTGAGCAAGTGGGACAAACCTGTTCTCGTTACTGAAGGAAGAGATTTCAAAGCATTTAGGAGCCTTATGCAAACCACAGCTGTGTTTGACTCTATAGGAATAAGAGATGGAATTTTGAAAGTCCGAATCTTTAGTTTTGACTTTATATCACTGTGTTATACACAGCAGCTCTAGAACACTGTATTAGGGAGGAGGAGGAGGTTCAAGGATATACTGAAGCTTGAAACCATGACACCGTTGAAAGCTTAACAAAAACCAAGATTTATTACCGAGAGAGTGGCCAACAAAACGAACAGACCCAAAAGGGAGGAAGGAGGAGAGAAATAAGCTTCAGTTACCCAGCTGTTGCCCATAACGTTATCTTACCGACCCAGCGTGCCTATAATTACCCATAGCAGAAGTGGCATCCTTGGAGAGTCAGTAAGTTCACAAACTGGCAGGTGTCCCCGTCAAAAGGCAACGTTGTCCTTGGTGTGAAGTTAGCTCCCCTCCAAGCAAGCACTATCTACTTTTATACAATTAACTGAGTGACCACAACCTTCCAGGTGTGGCCAGCACCGCCCAGCCAGAGGCCCTCAATCCCACCTCCCGGTTATGTAAGTGCATCTCTTCTGCGCATGCGTGAGGACTTTGGAAATCCCCTCACGCAGGCGCAGTATGTTTTGGGGGTCTTTCTTAATTGAGTCTGGGGGTGAGCCTTCCTCCCCTCCTCATCACTTTGTCCTCCAACTGCCCTTGACGAGCAATTGACCAATCACAACAGACCAATTAAAACAGTTTACACAGAAGTTCTCCCTCCAAGGCCAAGTTCACTGCTTTATCAGAGCACTTGGCAGGAGAAAAACGTAAACTTCTGCAGGTGGCTAGGGCCAAACACAGACCAAAAAATAATAACATCCCAACTTCGTCCGGATACAAACACTCCTCATTTCAATGCATCCTCTTCAAAGCTTCCTCTCTGACTTGTGATCGCACAATATCTCGTTTCCATAACAGTTGCTTACTGGGAAAAATAATATTATGAAAACTGTAGTAGAAATCAGCTATTGGATACTTCTTCAAGCCTCTAGCACATAAAATGTTACTTGTTGACTGTTGCTATCATTTTGCATCATAGTGCCCCAAGGAAATAAAAGCTGCTCACTCTCAGATCTGCTTTCCTTTCTTGACAGCTTTGTCTTTGCACAAACAGTGCCTCCGAGCTAGGAGTGCTCAAAGGGAAACTCACAATTTGTGGAAATTTTTTTAAAATATAATGAAGAAATGAAAGGACTTCTTGATAGCCAGATTTTCCTATTAGAGTGTTACTTTCTGACAATGTTTAGTTTTACAACATGATTTTACAACTCCTCCAACACACCAAGGAGTGTGCTCATTTTAGACATCTTTTTTCTTTTATTGATGATCTACATTGAGTTATTATCTCTTATGTGAACATGATTTCTAAATCCACTGGTGAGACGTAATGTTGTAGAAATGTCTCTTAATTTTTAAAAAAAGTTCAAGTATTCCTTTCCCACTAGAGAGCTAGATCAAATATGAGCATAGCTATATTATTTTCCACAAACCAACAATCTTTTTTTTTTTTACTTGCTTCCAGATGACTGCAATGCTTATGAAAGCTGCCAGGATGTATTAAAATCATTCATGAATTTGTAATAAGGGTCTTAGGTTCCACACGGCAAGTATTTTGCAGTAGAAAGGATTCACTGCCAAAGGATTCATCCTTGTTAATAGCCCACTCTGCAGTTGTGAAACACTGGCCTTTCAGACTTGAGCAAATAATTGAATGTCCTTTTGGCTCTGTTCCACTAATGACCCTCTAGATTAGGGAAGAATCCTAAAGTCAGAGAGTAAATGGGGTCTTCTTACTGGGCTAGGTTTCTAAGTGTATTTGATATCCTGCTGTACAGACAAAATAAAAAGTGAGGCTTGCTCTTAAAGAACAAAGTGTTTTGGGAAAAACGAGGAGCTACTTGGTTCTTTTGCAGCGATTTGAAACAAATATTAAGATTGGCATTAACAGGGTCTGAGTGGAAGTGTTCCTGTGTGTGTACGTGAAAGTGCCCGATGAAGCAGCAGAACGTGTTAAAAAGGTATCTGAACGAAGAGAAAGAACAAAGTGACCTAAAGATAAGGTATCAAACAAGACAAAGAACAAATGCAGGGCCATAAAATACACAAAGGCAACAAACATTCATGACATTCATGGATTTCTGAAGAGTGAAACAAAACAGTGAGACAAAGTATTCTTTACACCATTCCCTCCTAGAGAGTATAAAAAGCAATTCCAAAATCAGTTTACTTGCCAATCAAGAAGCCCAGAGGCACAATGAGGACACAACAGACAATATCCTTATCCTCTGTGTGATCACACATGTGATGTTGACCAGGCCATTTGAACACACACGTTTTGATGTTTCCAAGTATGTGGGTGTGAAACATAAAGAGAAACAGTCAGTCAGTCAGTCAGAACAGTATTTTGCAGAGATTTTGTTTATAAAATCACATTCCGCTTCCCTAAGACCTCATGCTGAGCTCTATCACACTCATTTTCTATGCACTTTAGTTCTTTAAAATCCTTCAAAACTTAGGGATCCAAAACATAGACTTCCCAGGTAAACGATCCACATGTCCCCCTGGCAAAAATGTTTGCTGTGATTGCTGTTCAGCAGCTTTAAGAAAGGCCAAAGGTGGCACTGCAAAGATAGGCTTCACAAAGCCATGGCAACAGAGTGGGTCTAGACAGCTTGAATGAGAATTCACAGGGATAAAATTGTCACAAGTGGACACAGCCAGCACAAAACCTATGCATCATTTAAATTCTTCTTGAGCCTTTAAAACTGGGCAATAAATGGTTTACAGGCCTTGGCTGTCCCAGTTTCCTCCTCTTAAAACAATTCAGCTGAAAAAGAAAATTACAATAAAGGAAAGCCTTACAGATTGTGTCACCCCTTTATAGTAGTGGTAAAAACTAGTCAGATCATACAATATATTTTCTCTAAAACAACACAGGAAGTTATACTAGTCTTCCAGAAGGATTTGAAATGAAAACTTAGTGTTATACTGCAGAATCAATGTGGAAGTTTGGGAGATTTATGGTTTGATTATAACATGAAACATTCTGGTTTCAGGTTGCCATCTCAGATTCAGAGCAGTTTCCAAGTTTTCATGAAAAGTTTCTATGTGCTGAAAATTAAGACACTTGTTGTGGAAGTCTGTATCTTCTTTCCTGGCTACACAACGCAATGTGTCAGTCTGGGAAAGTCCGAAGTTGGAAGCTGGATTATCTCTTTGGTGCAAAAGCCAGTATATCCTGAGATATGTTAGATCAGTCTCCACACACAGACAGATCAAGAGGCCTTACAGGATCATCAGTTGGGCGTGTCTAAGAGCAAGGACAGAAGAGCAATATATGCCTAAATGAGGACTTCAATGGATTTAGGATGACCAGACTGTGCATCGGAAAATCCACGCGCTGTCTTCCTCTGAATGTGTCTGACTTCACAGGTGGCCTATCCAGAATCCTATATATCTATACCATGCTCTGGCATATTAAAAAGATTTCTTCATCCTGGGCAAAATTGAGTAGCACCACACAAGCCTGTCCAAATACTCCTTCATCTGAGGGGATGGATCCAGCAAGCACATACAGCTTAACCTGCAGCATCAGCCACTTCAGAAATGGCAGTGGCAGCAGGATGAGCAAGATATAGGTGAGATGCTGTATTCAACAACTCCTTAAAGTACTGATGCATTCTCAGAAATCCCAGCCTCTTTTCTTCTCTCCATTCCTTCCAGCCACTTCCTCACGTTTCATCACACACTTCTTTCAGAAATCATTCAGTTCTTTGCTGCACTATGGCAGAGTTTGTAGCAGTGGAGCAGGAAGAAGCATTAGCAGTCATAACAACTTCTTTAAAAATGTCTGCAGTGCAGTTATTTTCTTCAGTTCTGGAGCCTCTGAGTGCTACTCCAATATAAACATGGACAAGCAAAAGATAAGAACATGACCTAAGTAAGAAAGAAATCTGCTGCTCACTAGCCCAACACACCCAATGCTACCAGCTGGCTTGTGTGTGTCTTATTCAAATGGCTGCTGTGCCTTGCACCAGGCTCAGGCTAATAAACACAGCAACTAAGAGGAAGCCCTCACTGACTGGCATGTACCACACTCCTCATTTCCGCATATTCGAATACTTTCAAAAGCAGGTTTTTATTTTCCAAAGCAAATGACGCATGTAAGGCATGGTTTAGACTCTGTAATTCTCATAACTGGGTTGGAAGACCAACTTCAGCTTTGAACTATTCCTTCAGCTCTGAAAATTCAACTTCAAGGATGAACATCTGTGACACTCGTTTTGTAGTTCTACCTATCACACATGTGGACTGATATCCATGTGTCTGAGAGCCATATGTGTCTGCTGGAAACCAATCATGTTTAAAAGAATTCCAATGTCCACAAGTCTCCAACAGGCAAACCTGTAACCCCTACACAGAAAAGACAGGCGAGTAAGGACATCAGCCATGATCTGATGATTTAATAGCATCTAGCAATCTGGCTGCTACATTGCACCTAATAGTATTTCATCAAGTAAAAAAAAGGGGGGACATAACAATGAAAATCATTTACAGTCTTACGTATACTTACTTCGGCTCCATTGAGATTAGTGTTCTGCATGAATCACAGTGGTACACTGATGGTTTGGCCAATACTCAGACAGTACATCAGGGAAGAGAATTGCATATAATAATGTAATATCCTGTTTGGAGGCTTAAGAGGCAAAAATTCAGCAGTAATCACTTCCAAGGGTAGTAACACAGTTCGTATAGCTTTCATAACGACTCCACAGTTATTCAGTCAATGCAAATGGAGTCTGATATTGAGCATCAAGAAGATAAATTAACAACAAAATGAGTCTTACTCACACATCCACCTACGTCAGTGGTGGACTGCAAAGACACAGCATGCACTCTTAAAGTATGTTGCTCTCCTCTTTAAGTTGCTGAGATGGCTGAAAGGGAGGCAGGAGCAAACCCTTTCTTTACTAAATACTGTGTGAAGAAACAAAAAAAGCTGTTAAAATTTAGTAAGCAAATTTTCCATTGGAATTAATGACTAGTTCATGTTATAAAGGCCTTTTGGTTTACCAATCATTTGGCTAACAGTGAAAACACAATAAAATTCTTTCACGAGCTTCAGATTTGGCAATAACATGCATGAAGTGCCAAATGCCAGGATGTTGGCCTTATTAATTTTTGTATAAGACCCAGTTTTCCAGAGAACCAACTGTAGTCTAATTAATTAAAAACAAACAAACTAAACCTCAAAATTTGACATAAACCATACCATCAAACACCCAAAAATTTAATTATGTAAGCTTATTTGATGTAAGCTTCCTTCCTACCTCTCTCCCCAGCTCCAGGCAGTTCTCTTCTGTGTCTGAAGTCATGCTGGAAATAATTTAAAAAGCAAAGTCTTGGCTGAGGACCCCAAATGTCTTATGGTCAATGAATATATCCCCTGAAGACTTGCCTTACATCTAAAATGGAATACCAAGGATTCTACAACTATAGCAGCTGAAAAGAAACCCCATCCAAAATGAACCAGGGGGTTATCATCAAGCTGGATATAAGACAACGAACAAAAGCTAATGAACAGAAGACTCACTGTGTTATGTCTAAAATTAGACTGCATTGACATCTGCATTGTCACGGGTTTGTGGAATACTCAGAGGCTATTATATTATTGTTTTAAGCATCATATATCTCTTTATCAATTTGATAAATACAGCTAATTCAGTGTATTGCTAGTTCAATGGGTAAGCGACAGGATAATTTCTTACAGGAACAAACGATGGAGTCAGTGTAATTGGTACAAATTGCAACACTGAAAAAAAAAAGCAAACGGTAAGTCTTCTGAAGTTCCTGAAAGAAACAGGACAAACAGAAGAGACAGCATTACCTCTGTCACTGCCTCACAACATAGGTGCTCAGTCCTGAAGTCGACTCCCTCAGTCACCTGTACAGCTGAAACCAGCCTTGTTGGCAACGTGAGCTGCAGCAAAGCGCCTGCACAGGAAAAGAGATGGGAACATGGAGCTGGAAATGGGAGGAGTGGGTGGGAGAACTCAGGATTTAGATCACTTGAAACTGACATGGAATCACACCTTAAACTGCTTAAAATAAGCCAGGTCATTTTGAGAGAAATGACTTAAGGAAGTGCGTGGGTGGTGATTCGGGCAGGCTTGAGAACATTGCCCCCTCTGTCTGAAGCAGGGATAAGAAGGCGGGACAGGCTGAGGAAGACAGAAAGATTCCTCTGAGTTGGATCTGGCTAGACACATGCCTTATCATACCACCTGAAACTGCATATAGCAGAGTGATTCTGCCCAGGCGATTTAATGAAGAAACTCCAGGTTACGGTCTGAAGAAATCCAGCCAAGTAAAAGAGAGGAGGGAGGAAAATAGTGGAACAATTACCCTTGTATCACTGCATGAAACCATACACTGAAAATGAACAGTAAAATCTGACCAAAAAATGAAACAAAGATACAAGATTAAAAAAAAAAAGAATCACTGGAGCTTTGAGGCTTTATGCCACCAAAACACAGACATTTCTTGAACCATCTGGGTAGTTCACCTGATTCCAGTCAACTGTGTTTGCAGAATGTGTGGTTTGATCCATATGCAGAAATATTTCACTGAGATGGGAAGTGACAAATCATAACACAGGTCTGATGTGACTCGTTCAGAAATTAATTTTGGAGCTCCCATTACCATAACAATGCTAATAAACTGTAAGTCACTCAGATGAAGAGAAATAAAAGTTGGCTGCTGGCTTAAATCATGAGTTAGAAGAACTCAAAGCCCCTGAAGTGTGTGTGCACGGAGAATCATGGGATATGCTGAATTCAAGAATAGTGGGCAGCTTAGGAAAGAGATCATTTATGAAAGCTTTCTGAAAAGCAGGATATTTTAGACCTCACAGGAAACAGGCAGAACTGCAATGCATGGCAACTATGGAGGACAAAGTAACACCCTGGTGTAAGGGGAGACTCTGTGAGGTATCAGATCCACACACATCTGTTCCTGTGCTTGATGGAAGGCAGGTTCAGATGAGAACGGGACGGCTGCTCAACAAACATTAAATGTGACAGGAACAAGCCCCTACAACAGCAGTTCTCACTTTCTACACGACCTCTAATACTCCAATTGCCTTATCCATTCAGCTTGGTTTCACTCCTTGTGCTCATGACACTTTTCTCTTACATTTATAATCTCTACTATAAACGCAGCAATATATTTGCACTTTTCCTCAAGTACAATTGACTACAGCATTCCTTGAAACGCCAGAAAATTGGCTTTCCTTTCAGATCATGCACATTTTTTACACAAAAGCATTTCCAGTGCCGGTTTCTGCTGCCACAGCCGTTTCGCAGCCAAAAGAATGGGCTTTTTTTTTTTTTAAGTGTCAATAATAGAAAGTAATAAAAGCGTGACACATCCCGAGGCTCTGAGAGCTGCTCCTGAGGGAGCGGCGGCGGGAGCACGACCCTTTCCCGGAATCTGGCGATCCCTGTCACACTATTATCGGATCAGCGCGGTCAGGTCAGTGCTGCCGATCATTTACTCTGGGAGTGGGGGTGAACACAGATGATGCTGAGAGCTTTAGTGGGTTTTTTTGTTTGTTGGTTTGGTTTTTTGTTTTTGTTTTTTTTGTTTTTTTTTCCTATCTGTGGTCTTTGGTTGATTTTTATTTTTTTTAGGTTTTTTAATTTTTATTTTTTTTATTACAAGTTTTTTTATTATAAGGTTTTTTATTATAAGGTGTTTCAACTTCGGCTTGGAGAGACACCGCTCTTTCTTCCACCTAACACCGGTGGAAACACTATGTATTTTCAGCCCCATCTTCATTAGAATTTTAATACCAAAGCAACCCACAAGAACCCGAAACCGGCCAACCAGCCAATCAAACCCCCAAATCGGGGCTGTTTTGGCACAGAAAACCTCTGTAGATACACATGAATGATAATTTCATAAACAAAGCATTAGCGAAACGCAACACCGCTAAGTCTATGTCGGCGGCTGCTCCTGACGATCTAATTACATCTGATAATCAAGGTGACTTTAGTGGAAACACCTTCCCCTCCCGGGGCCGGTCCCTCACAGGCTCAGTCACCCCTCAGGGCCCGTCCCCGCACGGGCAGCGCCCCCACCCAGCGCGCGCTCCCTGAGCCCCCGCCCCCCCGGGCGCGCACGTGCTGGAAGCAAACACCGCACGGCGCATGCGCGGCCCAGCCGCCCCTGCCTCCCTCCCCCCGCCTCGCTGGGGGCCGGAGGGGCCGCGGGCGGGGTCTCGGTCTCCGGGCGCCTGATTGACTGATGTCATTTGCCCGGCCCCGCGCCGCGCCCGCCCATTGGCTGCCCGCGGACCGCTATGTGCGCCGCGCCGCCTGGTTGGCTGTTGCCGCGCGGGCCGCTGGCCTATCCCATTTCGGGCCACGAGGATTAGGGTCCCTGGCCCCGCCTCCGGTCCCGGCCCCGCCCACTGCCGCGTTTCCCTCTCTCCCATTGGTCAGTGCTCACTTCTCTCCGCCCCCTGTCACTGCTCTGATTGGGTAATGGCCCAGCTCCCTGGGTGACAGCCCCGCCCTCGTCCCCCCCCGCGGTGGCCCCTCATAAAGTTTTGTTCGGAGGCGCCCGGACCACGCCTCCTTCATCTCCCGGCCCCGCCCCCCCGGGAGCGTGGCCCCGCCCCCGCCCTGCCCGCGCGGGCGGGGGGGAGCGGCGGCCGTTGGGGCGCGCGCGCGCTCGCGCCGGCGGCACCTCCCGTCCTCCGCCGTCCCCTCCCTCAGTCCCGCTTGGCGGCCGCCGCGGCAGCACCCGCGGAGCCGGAGCCGCTCTGGGTAGCGCTGCCTCATCCTCCTCTTCCTCCTCAGCTCCGCTATCCCCCGGGCACGGTGAGCACACGCCGCGCGGAGCTGGGCTCGCCTCCCTCTCCGCGTGTGGGGAGCCGGGGCGGTGCTGTGGCCGGCGGGTGGGGCGGGAGGGATGTTGTGGGGCTGAAGGGGCTGCGCGGCTCTGCCCCCGCCCCGGCCCCGCGGAGCCGCTGCGGGCGCGGCCGCCGCTCGTCGCGGCTGGCGCTTGGTCGCACTTGTCACCCGGGACTAGGCTGGGCTTTCTCGTCCTATTTCATATCTGTCACATTGCCTGGGAAACTTCCCCAGCGCGATACAACTTTGAGTAAAAACGCAAAGAAAAAAAAAAGACAAAAAAAAAAGACCAAAAAAGCCCATTTCCTTTAATGTTACAGCTGCTGAAAAAAACACAGCCCTGCAAGTTCCTCTTAAAATATAATTGCAACATCACTCCTTTGGAGGAAACGAGACCTGGAACATAGGACCGCAGGGAAAGCACTTAATCTCTCCTCCTTTTGTGTAACCTGGGAAAAGACTTGGCTTTTCTGTGCCGTAGGACTCTCCGCTGGGATGTTTAATACCTTTTAAAGTATTCCGGGGCTTTTCGGAAAGATCTTAGGTGCAAATTGCTGCTGCTGTAAGGCTCTGATCCGGTGAATTGAAAATGAGTTTGGGTATTGAAGAGACTGCTGTGCTGGGTTTTTTTCTGTCGTTTTCGGAAATGCAACCATGCCGGTACTGGACGTGGCTTGTCTGAAATCTGGGTGTATTCACTCGCCACCCGATGGTTCTGACATCTGCTTTTGAAACTTGTGTGCGCTTTCTACTGCCTTTGGCTTGACTGACCTTGCTCAGCGGAATCCTTTGTATTATTGGTACTTCCAGATCTTGTATAACATCTGCCAGTGCTATAGAAATACAGTTAGGGTTTTTGGATGTCTGTCCTCCTTCCTGTTTGGTTTTTCTCACAGATATCTTTTTAAAACTCAGAGACTGAGATTAATGCTGCTTTTTTTTTTTCCTCCTTGTAATTCAACAGATGCAGTTTATGTTGCTTTTTAGTCGCCAGGGGAAACTGAGACTCCAGAAGTGGTATGTCCCATTATCTGACAAAGAAAAGAAGAAAATCACAAGGGAACTTGTTCAAACGGTATTAGCCCGCAAACCGAAAATGTGCAGTTTCCTCGAATGGAGAGACCTGAAGATTGTCTACAAAAGGTTGTTCTGTCTCACTAACCTCGTAATTGCCATACATCACAAAAGTAGAAGGAAAATAATGAAGATTGTTTGTGTTTTGATTTGTTTTGGTGTTGTTTTTTTTTCCTTCCCTCTGCTGATTACAGAGAAGAGTGACTTTTCCCTTGAATCTGATTTGATAACCAAGTAGGAATCAGTCATGTATGGAAAATCACTCATGCATTTAGAAATGTACTGAAGAAAAGAAATGAGCTTTTCTTCTACTTTCATAAGGAGTGGCAGTTCTTGGTACTCTGCTTAGGTTCACATAGTCCATACATGCTTCATATTGGTAGGCATTTCAGATGTAATAGGTGATAAAAAAATTTTCTAAATGTACACCTCAGCCAATGACTTCGTAAATCACATGAAAATATAACTTGCTTTTTAAGGCTCATAGAAATAAGGAAATTTTTCAGAGTTTAGTTTGGTTTATTTGAATTTTATTTTTTTTTTGGCTATGAACACAAAAAGGGACTTCTTCTAATTGAAGGAATCATGGCTAGCTGTGTTTTAGTGCAAGTACTAAAAGAAACTATATCAGTTTCTTTGCAGTAGATTCATTTTTCAGTTGTTCCCTAACCTTTCTAGGAGTATTTGGCATGCATTTTTTATCTTTGTGCTAATCTTTAGAATGTATCAAAATGTGATAGTGTGAACATAATTTTCTCCACAAAGCAGTAATCCACCTCCTGATGTGGTAGGATACATCTCTTCCAGGTAAAGCTGCTGCTACAAGCTCTTGAGTTATCTTCATTCCCTAGTTAGTTATAAACTTCAGAAGGTTTATGTGTTCTTGTTTTCTCTTTGAAATGGTAGGTAATTTGTGCCCTACACTAAACACTGTTGTATTCTCTGTAGTTAGGACAGAGAGAACTGGAGCCAAAATGAAGAGTTTGTAACTTTTCCACTGTAATAAATCACAGAATCACAGAATATTCTGAGTTGGAATGAGTAGAATCAAATATGTTTAGATGTTTTAAGTCCTGTTTTCATACAGACATTGGTGTGTGTAATGTCACACATGTGAATATTGCTGGTCTGAATATTACTTGCGTGTGCTTTTTAACACGAGGAGGAAAGAGGAGCAACGCATGAGGCTGTGCTGGAAGAAAGCATGGACAGGGTTTTTTTCTGCCTCTCAATTTCCTCACAAAACTTCTTGTACATGCATGTAGACCAGCTCGCTCAAACACTTGGTATGTTTCCTTAAGTGATAATGCCTGGAAGTGCTTTTCCAGCTGGGCTTCCATGAGACTAGATTACAAAAATGAGGCATGAGTAGGGCTGTCTGTTCCCTTCCTTGCCCAGTCTGGAACAGCAGTAGCTGTTCTGGGGATGATTCCACACAAGTGCTTTTCCCCCGTTTTTATTGCTGTTAACAACTACTTGCCATACCCTTTTGTGTTTAGGTAGCTGGTGGGTATGACCATTTGAGTTACTGAAAGTTGTGGTGTTCTTGCATCTCAGTAGTGTGTTGTGGGTCCTGTGGTCAAGGAGAGTGAAGAAATTTGCTGGGAGATGTATTTAGAGTATTTTTGACCGGACGTAGACTGCAGTCTGTCTGCTGGACTGCTGGTGTGCACAGCTGACTGCAGTAGCTTATTTCAGTGTCTGCAGACCAATCTGGCACAGGGAGCCTATGAAATTGCTAAAGATGAGCTTGTACCAAGCTAATGAACATCTCAAATCTTGCCTTACTTTTAGTTTGGTTTTTTTTTTTCTAAAACATCACCAGAAGGACTAGCTATAAGAAGTGATAGTTTAAATTCCTGTCTGATAACACCGACAGCTTTTACATTTGTGGGACTTCTTCCAATCACCACACCATAACTAAAGATGATGAGTACCAGCTAGTGTGATTTCTTTGAAAAGGGTTATTTTTTTGTAGCTGAAAAGGTGAGTGGCTTAAAGAGAAACACACCTGCTGGAACTTTGTGTGCTTTGTGAAATTGCAAAAGGTGCTCCCAAATGCTCACAGACAAGAGGCTCTTGAGCATATTTACTGAGATCTGCTGATGTCTGATCTATTGCTGGAAAGGATCTGAACCTGCTGGTGCAAATGTTTTTCAGTACAATTTATAAAAGTACGTGCACAGTGCTATGGCACATGTTGCATGTGCATATTGCTGTTATGAATCTTGAATTGCTGCAATTTGTGCCATTTTTGTTTTTAGAGTGTATTTATTGTCCACATGTAGGAGAATTGACCTAGATATTGCTGCTCAAAGAATGGTTGGCATGATTGGAAGTATACTCAAGAGTCTCATCATTGTACCTTTTTGCAAGAACAGAATGAACTCAATTGCAAAATTGGCAAGACTGTAGCTTTAGCTTCCTTATGATACTTAACATTTATTAAGACAGCTAAACTATTTTGATTAGCCTCCTTAGCTCTGTAGTGTTTTATTTTTATAGAATGTTTTCTGAATGAATCTTCAAGAAAGCAGAACTTAAAATCCATCTGAACATGTGTGGCGTAACTTTTATTTTGCTTGGTTTCATACATGAGCATTGATAACATTTGCAACATAGGCTCAGTCATTGCCTTCTTAATTTTTTTCCTTTAGCACTACAAAACAAGATGGAAAAGTACCCTGCTTTTGTCATGGTTCATGAATTGGGTTATACATATTCTGTAGCTGGATTGGAAGAGTGTTTTTCAGGCAGATAGGCAACAGAAGATTAAAAAAGGATGTGAGCTTCTAACTTGAAGAATCAGAGAGATTTTAAGTGACTTGCTGGGAAAAAGAAAATAAAATAAATATGGGAAACCAAAAAACCTGCACTTCATGAAAATAGAGGGGGGAATCATCTGCAGACAACAAATTAGAAACTTTCTCCCTGTGGCAGAAAAAATATGTTAAATGTTAAAATTTATAATTTTACTAAAAAAAAGGAACTTAGAATGTAATTTTTTTTTATTTGAAGACCTCATCTGTTCACTATTTTGGCATCTGGCAGTATGAGTTATTTTCATTGTGTAGTATAATGCAGTCAAAATCAGAAATCAGAGAATAACTGATTTTATATAAATTTTACTTTGTTAACATTTGGTTAATTGCGTCATGGGATTTAGTTATTGTTGATTGGTTATTTGATTAAGGGTTGTGGCTTCCTTTTTATGTGTCAGTTTGGAACTGTGTTTGCAATATGAAATTACAAAACTGTCATTACTGCCCTTGATGTTGTGGCAATTTCCTTTTACTTTAGCATGACATAACCAATATCATAGTTTATGTTAAAGACTTGCAGCAGATTGAGTTTTAGAACTTTCTTTCTACCCTCTCTGCAATGAAAGTAGCAATGGAAGAGCCCCTTGTGCAGGTAGTGTGCCTTTTCACTCTGAGTGTTATGAATGGAAGGTACAGCCATGTGGCCAGTGGGATGTGCCCAGGAGTTGGCATGATCCCTGTTTTACTTTATGTACAACTTAGCTGCCAGATATATCTGTTAAAATTGCTATTATGATGTTGATTAGATAGCTTTGTAAAACTGGCTGAATGCAGCGTTTATAGTGAATTGGATACTTGGGTTTGATAATTTTAATTAGATCAGGCCTTCTTTGTACAGGATTCTTGTTCATGTGGCACTGGAAGGACCTCAGCATCAAGAAACAGCAGGGTTTTTTTCGAGAACTATCAGTATCATGTTCTTGTTCATTTTTAAAACTACTGGGGAGTATAGCCTTGCTGAAATGAGAAACTGTAAAAGAAATGCTTAGCTTTGGTAGACTCTGTCCTGGAGTCTCAGAAGTTCTTGTTTTGTTAAAGAAATGTGTAAATTTTTGGGACGAGAAAAAATCTTTTGTTAGGCACAACATAGTAGTGGTCCTAGTTTTCATTTGGGCAAATATCACCAAACCACAGATACTTGGGCTCCCTTAAGCACCTATGTGCCCCTTGTTTGTCATTTACAGTTTGGTTCTGATTGTGCCAAACTCTCTAAGCTTTAAACTTTTGCAGTTAGGATCTACATGCGAAGTGACTCATGCTGACAGACTTATGGCTTGTTTGCAAGTTTACCTGGTGACAAACTTCCAGGGATGACTTCAAGCAGGTGTTGTCTCACCTAGTAGGAGAATGTCACTGAGCTGGCAGGATTTTCTCTGCCCCGCAGAGACCTGATCTTGCAGCAGAGTTACTGAACCTGGCTGTGAGCAGAGTAGTGGAGAATTCTGCTGAAGCATTGCCAGCCTGTTGTGAGGCTTCCCAATACTGAACTATTGAGAGGGAGATGCATGGATTTGTTTCCTAGCACAAAAAAAATCCTAAGGCTGTCTGTCTGAAGGCAGGAATTTGTATAAGTGCTTATACCTGCTGTGTTACCTTTTTGGTCTTTAATTCCATATTACATTTTAGGTCAAAATTTCTGTGATTTTGTCCAAACTGCTTTTGGTCTCTCTGGTTTTCATTCCCTTTCTGACAAGTGAAGGATATTTATCATAAAATATTTTCCTAAATGAGGGTAAGCAGCTGAGCTGAGCTTGAAGATTCTGTTAATAATTAGTGAGAAAAAAAGACCGTAATTGCAATAGGAATAAAAAAGGCAAAATGTTTTTTCTAGACGGCACTGTATTTGCTTGTAGGTGTGTGCTTTACTATCGGAATTTGCCTTTTTATTGGATGCATGTGAAAGACAGGTCTCTGTCAGGCTCATAATGAAGAATCTGCTCGTGCAGAGCAGAAATCTTTTACAGCCTGAGTACAGTAATTTACTCGTGTTTGTGTGGGTACTCTCCATGTAAACTTCTGCACTTGGCAAAACTTTTGGTGTCTGCTCTAGACTGTAAGTGGACACCTTTTTCTGAAGCCCTGGCCTGCAGGGGAAAAAAATTACAATAAACTATTGCCTCTGAGATCAATTTGGGTCTGAAGCATTCCTTTGTGGTATGCTCATGCCCTTTGCAATGATGGCTGACTTGTTTATACTCTTCTGCTGTTTTCCATTTAGGCTTATTAAATCTGCATTTGTTTTCTTTTGTTGAGTAGTGATCTGTTAATCAAGGTTGGTACTTGAAAAATACATGGAAAAATATTATCTGCATGTAATAATAGATACCCAGGCCTCCATTTTGTGTTGATACCCTCTGAGGAGTTTTTGTTTCTTAGTATTATTTCTCCAGAACTGCAGTTGGCAGAGCTTGAATGTGTAGTCTACTCACTCACTAGCTGCCAAATACAGGCTTTCCAAAGTATGTTGCATTCTCTTTTAAATGAGGACACTGAGAGCAGGCTACTTTCTGGGAAAGTATTTTATGTTAGTCTCCCTCCCCAGCCCCCTTCTTTTGTTTTGATTTTTTTTTTCCATAAAATAGTTCTTTGCATCGAAACTAACTCTTAAGTAATAGAAAGCACAAAAGGTCTGTCCCATGTGGATAAACTTAAAATATTTGAGTCAGATTTGATTTGATAAGGTCTGTTGGTATGTGGTTCAACTTGTGTTTAAACATTGTAAGGAAGCAGTTTAACTGCACATCATCATAATCAGTACTGCTCATCTGAAAGTGATGAAAGCTTTGTTTAGATGGATTTGGCCTGAGTGCTGGTGATTAGTGTAAATGTCAAATAGTGTGTCGAAGCTCTTTTTTTCTACAGTGAAATATGGTAACATGGAGTTTGACTAATGAATTCCTCAGTAGGTTTGAAAGCATGTTTTTTCTGTATAGTATCGCTTCCCAGTACTCTTTAAAATAGTTTCGATTTCCTGTACAGATTGAATCTTACAAACTACTACAGTGACTGTAAATGTCCTTGAAATTTAGTGGGGCACAAAGTGTAAAATGAAAAGAACTGTGCTCAGATAGGACTTCTGATGGGCTCACAAGTCCCCATGGTGAAGAGATGAAGGAGCGAGGGAATGAAAATGTTGTCCTTCAGTGGAAGTGTCTTTGTCTCTTCTCACATCACGTTTTGTGGTAGGATGGAAAAAATCACAGGGAGTAACATTTTATTATAGTTTAAAGCTTTTGTATAAAAGTTATTCTGATTAATCCTTCATGATGAAGCCATGGCAATTTGACTCAGAGCAGAGTGGGGGGAGGGGGGAACACTTTCTGGTGGTAAATGGTACTGGATGAGTGTCTGGAAGACAAATTTGAACATACCTCAAAATACAGCATTTTTTTGCAGAACTTCTAGCCAAAACCTCTTGACGATTTCTTTAGGGGTTTACAAAGTTCCACCTGCTAAAATATGTGTAATGTTTAAAAACTGCATGGATTTTGCTGTATGGGAAACAAATACGCACCTTAAATTTGGCATTCACATCTGAATGACTTCTTTCTCGGTAAGGCTGCCTTCTAAGACTGTTTGTGTTGAATTGTCCCCTCTGAAGAGGCAAACAAAAGCCGTTTCTGATTCATGTAAATTAGCAGTTACAACAGGTGGTACTTGAAGTCTGGTTTGTGCCATGTGTGACTGAGCACTTTAGAAAAGACTAAATGGGGTTTTCAGTTTTCATTCCTGTTTTGATTTTTTTAATCAGCTTTTTTAAACATGACTTGGACAAATGTATGGTAGAGCACAGTGGTATTGGATGGTCTTTTTATTAAAGTGGAACCCTATCATATGTGAAGAATTCTGTCTTCCAAGATGGAAGTGGATTGCTAGAAACTATTTGATGGCCTCTCATTAATCTGATGCCAGGACAGTTGGTAGTGAATTAGTTGTTGGCTTAATAGTAGTTGGGGCATATGACATTAGTGTTGGTTTTGGAGTTTTTTGAATTTGTTAAATTCTCTTTAAAGACCAAATCTTAATTGCTAATTCAATTTGTCTTTCTCAAGGCATTTTCTGTAGTTTTTAATATTTCTGTGTGTAGCTTGTGTGATAAAGATTTAAGATTGAGTCTGTTGATTAGTATACTGGTGCTTGGATGTTACAGACAGTAGAGATAATATCATGCCTCAGAACTCTGCCAGGAGACCAGAAAATCAAATACATTTCCTTTTCCAGCCACTTCTTTGGCTAATTTATTTCTGTCACCTAAAGGATGGTGAAGACTGAAGTCATGCTGGACTCAAGGAGACAGATCCCGTTTGTACATGTGTCTTCTGGTCTTTCAGCTGCTCTTTGGTAGGAGGTTTAGGTTGGATATTAGAAAGAGGTTCTTCACCCAGAATGTGGTTGAGCACTGGAACAGGCTCCCCAGGGAAGTGGTCACAGCACCAAGCCTGACAGAGTTCAAGAAGCGTTTGGACAATGTTCTCAGGCACAGGGTGTGACTCTTGGGGATGATCCTGTGCACGGCCAGGAGTTGGACTTGATGAGCCTTGTGGGTCCCTTCCAACTCCACATATTCTGTGATTCTGTGACTTGCTTGGCTGTTGATTTAGAGGAACAATATGCTAAACTTGAGTATGAAAGGCAGCTGAGAATGTGATACTCCTCAAGTACATTCATTTTGCTCATGCTCCTATGCTCACATCAGGATTATTTTGTTATTACAGATATGCAAGTCTCTATTTCTGCTGTGCTATTGAAGATCAGGACAACGAACTAATAACTCTGGAAATAATTCATCGCTATGTAGAACTTCTTGACAAGTATTTTGGCAGTGTGAGTTAGTTTCTTTATATTTTATCATTTTGTTTTATGCCCACAGGACTTTTATAAAAACATAACCAACTAGCTGTTGAAAAGGTGCATCTAACAAACACATTTTATGTGGCTTGCTTGGCCAAGCTAAACTGATGGTTGCCTATATAACTGTTCAAATACAGAATTAAATTATTGATTTGGGAGAAGAACTGTTATTAATCTGGTGGTAATTGCCTGTACTTATTTCATTTCATAGTAGTTTCACTTGAGGTCAGATAAAATCTTAGCTTTCTGTTTAGGCAGCTTTCCTTCTGGCACTGCTCTAGTGTGTGAGCACTTCTTACATCTGCTTCCAAAGGAGGCAGTTGGTTGTGAAGTAGCAGGAACGGTAAGGAAAGACAAGACAGACATCTGCTTACCCAAACAGCAAACACAGAAAAACTGTCATACTGTACATTAACACTTATAGAAAAACTGCTGCTTATTCTTCTGCCTTCTAAGTCTGACTAGGGAATGCACAGGATGAGTAAAAAATTTGAGATTGTCTTCACATTTTTCTGTACGATTGCGTGGCCTGCCTTTAGATACTGCAGTCAAGAAGACAACTTTTATAGGGATGTTCTCTTGCCTCTTGAAGAGCTGCATAATACAGATGGTTGTGAATTGAACCCTTTTTAACAATGATGGAAGTGTTTTTCAGAGGTTGCTGTAACTGTTTCTAACTCAAGCAAAAAATTTTTTTAATTTTTTTCCCCCTCCAAGGACTGATTTTTGTTGTTGCCCCATTTTGTACAAGGCTATAGCCTTAGGTAATGATTTGGTGAAGTTTGGTGAAACTGTGAACAAGTTAAGTTTTGTGAGAGGATGTACCTCAAGTGAGAGTATCCTCCCGCTTTGCAATAATACTTGATGTTCTTTTTAGGTATGTGAACTTGATATCATCTTCAATTTTGAAAAAGCCTATTTCATTCTGGATGAGTTCCTTTTAGGAGGGGAAGTTCAGGAGACTTCCAAGAAAAATGTTCTTAAAGCCATCGAACAAGCAGATCTTTTACAGGAGGTAAGCAAATTCAGCTTCTCTGGCCAAACTGTCAGCATGGTAGGCTGTGACCTAAAAAAACTCCTGTTTCTCTAAGCTCGTAGAAGGTACTTTTTAGCATGCTTAGCATGTAGTTTTGAGTTAGTTGTCCTAATTGTGCAATAGGATGATGTTATCCTGCTCTTTTTGTTTTGTTTGGCACGTGTATGTTTTAACCCACTGTGACTTTGTGTTCTGCTAGTAACTGCAAGTGGCTATTTTAGATAATTGTAGTTCATGTTGGTTTAACTAAGTGTTGTTCATGTGTCTTTCATTTCTTCCTTTTATTAATTAATCATAAGTTTTTCTGTTCATACCTGATGCATGTTCACTTCTTTACTGTTTCATTGCTGAAATCCAGAAGGTAGACTCTCTTCTTTGAGACTCGTTCAGGTATAGTTCTTATTAGTTCTTAGACCTGCTTTTCTGCTATAGTTTGCTTACTCTGGAGAACTTCTGTGTTGACAAAGCAGTAATAGTAGTGCCATAGAAACATACAGAATAAAGTATAAGAACATTGTTTTTTCACTTTGAATGCTTTTGTTTTTTATTACTACTGTAGAAGAAAGATTGCATCTCTACCATTCTTTTAAAAACTTCTGATGTGAAGAAGTTCAATGGTATAGAAAAACTTAGTGTTGTTTCTCCATCCTATGCTTGTTATTTTGTGTTCGTTTGGTTTTGTTTGGTTGTTTTTTTCTTACTGAATTGTGGTCAGTGTTAAGGTTCTTGAATATCTAAATGGAAGTCGCAAAGTACTGGTGTACTGGGGAAATCATCAGCCTTGTGTGCAAATCAGTGGAACATATGGTTTAACAGGCATGATGAACCTTAATTTTTTTAAATGTACTGAGGTTCACTGCTCAGATTTGATATTGATCTAAGCTGCTCTATTTTTTCCCCCAATGTGAACCTTCAATTTGCTATTTTGTTCTATGAGTTAATTGCTTAATTCTCTTATAATCACTCTGTGTTTCACTTGTTTGTCTTTGTTGAGCGTAGTATTAATAGGATGGGGAAACATTCTTTACCCTTGTAGTTGTGTTTGTAATCCTTTCAGGCAGATCTGCTGCACATTAAAGTTCTTGTTTGTCACCAGCTGGTTAGTGTCAGGGACAAGGTCAGCCATTGCACACAGATTTGCCACCCTATTCGTCTAGAAAGGAAGTACGTGCACTTACTTTTTGTGTTCTGATTCAATTTTTGTTAAGCTCTTCTTTACTTTTAGAAGAAATTATCTTAACCAGAAGTCCTGTTGCACTTTACAAAGAGGGGAGAAAAATAATCTGTTTATTCTCTTAAAATCTTTTGCTCTTTATATGAAAACAGATATAACAGATTAGCTGTATATTCCAGTCTGTCTCCTGCAAATGCAGTTAATTATAGAATTACTGTATTCTTTCTCATTCTTACTGGTCTTGAATTTTATTTTCGCCATTTTTGTAGGACTCTTCTAAAGCAAAAATGTATTCTACTTCTAGGAATTCATTTCTGATTTTCTATCCAAGCAACTAACATTCATTTTTTACAGAGAATATAATTTAATATTAATATTACTTCAAGTTAAAAATTTTATGCAAAAGGAAATACCACTTTTCCCTTGCCCTGATAGTTTTGCCCTGACTTCCCCCTCTCTGGGAGATTTTCTGTTTTCAAGGTTTATTAAATAATTTCTTACTAATTGGAATGTAACCATTTATCACAGCACCATAGTAGTCCTATGTTGGACTTCTATATTTTTTATTCTTAGTTATATTGACTGTTGATCAATTCTAAACCTAGTCCATAAATCTGATTTTTAGTTTATAAACCCTGGAAAAGTCTGGGGTCATATTTATATTGAGCTTCCAATACATTTGGGCTCTTCCTGCAGAAGTTTGGTTTTGTATCAACTGCTGCTATATGCATGCTGAGTTTTTGATGAAGAGAGTTGTTAAAATAACAGCTGGTCACATCTGGAGACTTTCTGGTACTTTCAGTTAGTGTCTGCTTCCCAGAATACTTCAAAACTACCAGAATGAAACATGATGTGATTCCAAATGCAAAACATATTTCTAGCAGGGTTGTCATGAGTTTAGTTTTGACCATGTCAGATTTTAATTATGTGCAAAGTGACTTTTATTTGGCCTTGAATACTCATATTGCCAAACATATATATTAATCAGTGTTGAATGCACAACATTATTAATTAGTAATGCCACATACATTAAAGTATGAAGTACCTTAAAGATGAAGAGCTTTACAGAGTACTTATACAAAGCAAAATCATTACAAATACATTAAGTGGCTACTTGTGTGATGTTGAAAGGAAATATGCAGAGGCCCAAATTGCTGAGTAGTGAATTAGTTCTTAATAGCCTTGGCTACTTGTATTTTCTGTGGCAGTTTTCCGGGATGTACTTCTGTGTCTGAGCACCTACTTCAATTTGTCATTAAGTTCTTGATGCTGTGTGGTCCACTTGCTAACTGGTAGAGTACGTGTGACTGAAACACACTAACTTTTTAAACCATTCCCATCTTCACTGCTGTAAAGGTGGTTTTTGCCTGTCTGAACAAGTCAATTATACTGAGAGAAGAAAATTGGCAGATGCAGTGTGTTGTTGCACGCCTTACATATGTTTTTATATGTATATACACACATGCAGTGTGTAGAACAGCTAAAAGGTAACCCTGTGCATAATTTTATGATATTTAAATTTTTTAAGACATGAAACTACCAACAATAGATCTTCTATGCAAAAGAGGGGATTTGATTTATTTCTCTCAAAAATCTAATTGCTGTGGTTTTATTTGATGGTTTGAATAATTCAGTATGGTGCTTGGAAGTTTGTAGTAATTTACTGTGCTAAAGCACTAAAATCAAGGAGTTAATAATTCTAATATCTAAAACAAGCAGTCATGTATATATTTTAAGTAAATCTATACAGAATTGCTCATCTTCATTTGAAATAGGAAAAAGTTCATAAACATTGACTTTGAGTGAAAATTCTTCTTGTTGATTATCCTATGTAAATTTTATAAAAGTGTTTTGGAAATTATCCCTGCTTTTGTCCACTACTATTATTTTGTAGGGTGTTTATGTATTTTTTTAGTAGTTGATTGCAGAACATCTAAATACTTAAAAATATATATATTTTTAGAAAAGTCATGATAAAAAGGCCAATGGTTCTGTCAACAAATCACACTTGTTTCCATCACTATTTTGGCAATAAAAATCTAAAAGCTATGTGAATGGTTTTTTTTCTTATGCTCTTGCCTTTTGGCCTCAGGCAGTATTTACTAGTCCTTCCAAATGAAGAATAAGAGATAGGCTATCAATTAACCTTACTTTCTTTGCTGTTTCAAGCCCTTGCCTCATCCTATATCCAGAAGGGTGCTTACAGTGTTCATGTTCGCTGACTTGTGCTAGATGCTTAGGGTTGCTGTGTAGATTTAAGCTTGTGGTTTTAGAATGAGCATCTTTGGAAATGAAAATTCATTGAGTTTCCAGCTCATGCCATGAAAATTTTCTTCTTGGAGATGAAATGTGCTGATTGGAAACTATGTTTGAAGGTATGCGTAATAGTAGGTATTAGGTTGTCCTTGAGATACAATAATGTTGGTATTATCAGTAACAAAAAAATGCAGTAGGTGGGAGCATAAGGGGTTTTGTATGCTTTGGGAAACAGCCTTTGTGAGCAGCTGTTTCATACTAGTTGCCTGAGAAACTTACCATAATTAATGCAATTAATTCAGTCTTCACTTAATGTTATCTCTTAAATATAGACTATTGAAATAGACTGCCTTCCTGAGTTGGCAGTGGCATTATTTGCCTTGGCCATACCTGTGTCTTGCTCAGTGTGAAACAAGAATGAATAGTGGAATCTTTATTATAATGGAGATCTGCCTGCCATGATTTCTGTCTGCTCTTCTTGTGTAACTTCTGCCTCAGCTGCAGGCAGTCAGCTTGGTTGGTCAGTTCATCACTGCAGTTCTTAAGATTGTATGTGCTTGATTTTAAGCACAGACAATGATCTACAGTAACATTTTAGAAGATACATATAGGGTCCCATGAGAGGCACCATGAACGAGAAAGGGATATGTTGTTAGTTCATTATTTGATGGGTGGACTGTTCAGTAGATCAAGAAGTGGTTGGACAGTTACAGCCAGAGGGTAGTGGTCAATGGCTTGGTGTCCCAGTGAATATCAGTGACAAGTGGGGTTCCCCAGGGGTCTGTAATGGGACCAGTGCTGTTTAATGTCTTCATTAATGACACAGAGAGAGGGATTGAGTGCACCCTTCATAAGTTTGTAGGTGGCACCAAGCTGAGTGGTGTGGTAGACACCTGAAGGATGAGATACCATCCAGGGGGACCTGGACAAGCTCGAGAAGTGGACCCATGGGAAACTCATGAAGTTCAATAAGACCAAGTGCAAGGTGCTATACCTGGTTTGGGGCAACCCACAGTATTGATACAGGCTGGGGGTGAACAGATAAAGAGCAGCTGAGAAGGACTTGAGGGTGCTGGTGGATGAGAGGCTGGACATGAGCCGGCAATGTGCGCTCATGGAACGAACACCAGACATGGCCTAGGCTACATCCAAAGTAGTGTGGGCAGCAGGTCAAGAGGTGTGATTCTGCCCCTCTGCTCTGCTCTTATGAGACCCCACCTGGAGTGCTGCATCCAGCTCCAAGGAACAACCCTCTGTAAGAACCAGCTGTAGATTTAATAGTAGCAGACAGCTCTGTAAACCTTGATATCAGATATGTTTCCGTATTTTTATTAGATCTTTTTGAACTGTCCTTCTTGTAATGTTGAAGTAGGCTTTCCTGCAAATACTTAGCAAATCATACTCTTATGTTTAAAGAAAAAGGAATTATTCCAGAAAATAAATAGTAGAACCTTTATCTATTTTTCCAAAACAGTAATTGGGGGAGGAGAAGTTAATTTTTCCAGATTTAAATGTCTTCTTGAAAAGGTAGCATTGAGTATCCAGGAAGTTACTGTATCATGCTTCAACCTCTTCCCATTCTCAATCTGCTTTTTGTGTTTTTTTAATCCTAGTAACTTGAATATTTTTCTGGTTTGTATGTGAGTTGTTTGATTCTTTTTGGAAAAATGCAGTTCAGTATCTTAATGTTCTTTGTCAAGTTTCTTGCTTTTCTGGATGTGTCATGATGTTTAGGACTTACCATAGATTTACACATAAGATGTGATTAATCTTATTACAATCAAGAAATAAAAATAAATCAAAATTAGAAGTTCTTAAGACTCAGCAAGTTGAGGAAGGAGTCTTCCATATAAGTGTTAAATATGCATTCATTGAGCTTTGCAAATTGAAACATTAGAAAGTTTCAATTACAAGACAAATTAGCGTAAGGGAAGTCCTTGCTGTCTCATAACTGTTCAGTACCCTCTCTGTTGTGATCACTTCACAAACCTAACTGGGAATTTGATCATTCATTGATATGAGCAATTCTTGTAGAGCTGTTGAGGGTATATTAACAGCACACCAAACTCTTCGTAGATTATAATTCTCTTTAGGTCATATTTATTATCTGTGCACTGAACTGATAGATTCCTCTCCAGAGATATTCTTCTGTCGTTGGCAGTAGAAGCACTGTGTCAGGGTGATACAATGAAAATTTTAACACTGCTCCATATGCCATAGCTGTTTTCAGGAGTTTAGTCACGTGCTTCTCGTCAATAAACATAGCAAATTCAATGAACAATTGCAGAAGGCTGCTTGACAGTAAGGAGTATCTTATCTTCAAAATTAGGTGCTTTCTAAATGTGCACATTAATCTGCATTTTAATAGAACAAGTTCATTGCATGTGGCAGAATGCTGAAAAGAGTGATGCTAATGTTTGGATCTTGAGATTGCGAGGAGAAAATTCCATTTTCACCCTGGTGTCTGAGATGATGTGTCATGTTGCAGTGCTACTACCCTTTCCTAGAATTTTCACTACCTGTGAGGATGGTTGTAGAGTGCTAGAGAATATTAGGTGAAAAGAATAAGAATGCCCCTCGGAGGCATCCTGTTGTGTTTGGTTTTAGATTCTCATTTCTTTGTGGTCTTATCTGTGTGTTGTACAGATGTCGGGCACGTTGCTGGGATGTGTTTTGGGGCTTTTATTTGTTATTTTTAAGGGAGAAGCTATGTTTTTTGTTGCCAAGCTGTCTAGCAACAGAAGTAGTTCTGGTGATGGATATCAAGATACAATGAAAGTGTATATATTAAATTTTACACTGAAAATTTGATATTAAAAAGCAAAAAAAGTCTGAGAAGACCTATTGTTCCCAGTTCTTTGAGAAAACTTTGATTAACAGATGGATTGAAGAAAATGAAAATGTCCAGCTTTTTGCTCTAAGCATTACTACATGAAGATGACTGTTCAGCAATGTGACTTATTAAACATAATTTTGTAGCTCTTGAATTACATTGTTTAAATTACTTCAAGGACGGCAAATATGTTGAATGATAGTTATTTTTCTTCATGGAACAAGTATTATTTAATATCAATGTTAGTAATAATACTGTGTGGCAGTTAATCACTGAATTAAATATATGTAAATTTTGTAGCATCCTATTCTATTATGCTCTCAATCTGTTATAATAATGAACAACTGATCTTAAGTTCCCTTTACAAAAAAGTCTTTGAATTAATATTCTTTCAAGCACAAGTGAAGCTTTCTAAACAACTCTCTACAACTTATTCTTTTAAGGTACCAGTATCCTTTATCTGGTTGAGAAATGAAAAATAAACTTAGGAGGTTTTTTAATCCATCTGCTTGGAGTCTTTGAACAGATGTTTTCTACTGATGCATTTCTGTTTACTTTCTTAGCAGTGGACCTTTAGGAAGACTTAAAATTGTATTAACTTAAAGAATAACAATAAGTGAAACAGATTTGAGTGTAATAACTGAATTTTTGTATGTAGTTTAGAATATTTCTAAGTCTTATTGTTAATGGAAATGAGCTGTACATGATTGGTGGATGTTGGGGTTTTTTTTTTGTTTGGTTGGTTTTTTATTTATTTATTTTTTTAATTTAGTAGTTGGTATTATATTTTCACTGCTGCTTGATTTTGTGTTTGTAGAGCCAGAATGAAGACTGGGGAGGTTTGTCTGAGGATATCTTATGATTAAGAGCATTCTAAGGCATTAGCCCTTTTGACCCCCATCTAAATGATTGGTAACTACCAAGTTTACCATTTTGGTGGCATGGATTAAATGGGTGCTATGCAAAAACTGCTGCACGTGTAATTAAGTCCTTGCAAGGGTAAACAGAAAATGGGTGATGGGCTTAACTTTCTGCAACACTTGCATGATGGTCTTTGAAGAGTGCTTTGAGTGTTTCCTTTTATTTTCCTTTTATGTACTAACCGCATCAACTTGAAGTGTCTGACTTCTACTGGCTTTCTTTGGTGTTGATAATTAAGTGGGATAATGCAAGTTAGAGAAATGGATACCAAAACTAATACCTAAACAGATGTTTGGCTTTGTTTACTTACAATCAGCCCATGTAAACATGTATTTATTGGAAAATGAGCTGTTTACATCTGCTATGCAAAGAAAATGGGCCCTAAAAAGACTGGGTGCTGCTGCAATTGACTATATATCAAGTGCCGGATGCTGCATGACAGAACAAAGCTTATTTGCATACATAGTGCATTGCAACATATTTTTGTCCAAAGCATAAGTGGAATACATTGTGGCAGTCCTACTAATAAAGGTAAGATTTTATTTTGTATAAGGCAAGTTCAAAACACATGAAAATGATTTGCTGGTGAAAACTTAATTAGTCTGCTGCTTATTTGATATAATGATAAACAAGTAGTTGAGTAAACAAAATAGCTTTTGTAATGTGGAACTGCGGTAATAGATCTAATTTCATACACCGCTTTATAAATGCCAGGATTTAGTTTCTAGTTAAAAGAAAATAATTATAGTACACAAAAAATATATGTTACGTGTTCAAAATCAAATTCACTGTTGGTGTATGGGTGTTTTTACCATCTAAGAGTTTCCTAGTATATGATGCAGCCATTGATCTGTGTTTGGAAGTGGGGAGTAACCAGTAATCTGCTTTTGATTGGACCTGTAGAACTAGGGCAGCCAACAAGTCATTTGTTGAAAACAGAATTTCTTATATGAGCTTGGACATATCCTAAAACAACTAGGAAAAAACTAAATGCTCAAGCTGGATACTTTCCACATTTCCCCCCCATGTTTATTTCTTTTTCTCTCCTCTTCACGATAAATTCATGTACAGTGTGATTCTCATGGTGAGGTTAGTATTAATACTGCAACTGTAAAACTTTTCTTGTGATTAAAAACTTTAAAAGTTATCTGTGTTGTTTGGGACCTGTGCTAAGAACAGAGCTTTTACTTATGAGTCTTAATCTTTCTATTGTTGTTGTCTTAGATGGCTACAAAGACCAATTCTAGCACATACAAGCTCAGACTTAGAGAATTCTGTGTGACTCCAGTTTACTTGCCTAGACTGTGTCCCAGATGAATTCTATGTATGGGCTCAGTGTTGAAGAAATGTGCTTTGTACCCACTAAACCAAACACAGTGGCATTATCTGATGCCCATGAGATGTTACTTCTTGGCCTGTACTGTTCCCTGGAAGGAGTGAAGGAGTAATCACTCTGTTCAGAGCTAATTTACAAGGTTGTTATGACTCCTCAGAATATGGAGAAATGGAGATGGTGTCTGCTGGGGTAAGTGGAGAGGACAGATGAATGTTACACATAACAATCATAGAATCATAGAATAGGTAGGGTTGGAAGAGACCTCCAAGATCATCAAGTCCAACCCCGATCCAACTCCAATTACTATATCATGGCACTAAGGGCCACGTCCAATCTCTTTTTAAAAACCTCCAGGGATGGTGAATCCACCACCTCTCTGGGTAGGCCGTTCCAATGCCTGATAACCCTCTCTGTAAAGAATTTCTTCCTAACATCTAACCTAAACCTCCCCTGGCAGAGCTTGAGCCCATGTCCCCTTGTCCTATTGTTGGTTGCCCGGGAGAAGAGACCAACCCCCGCCTGGCTATAACCTCCCTTCAGGTAGTTGAAGAGAGTGATGAGGTCGCCTCTAACAAGAGATGGGGGATAGTTTGCCTGCCATAAGGAACCGCAGATTATAGAGGAACGAAGATCATATGTCTTAAAGAAAGATCTTGAGGTAAAGGAAGGTTGTCTTCAGACAAGGGGAGGAGTTTGACTCATAGCTTTGGTGCTTGGATTAACCTGATATTTAAGTGATAGGTTATGCATCTTCAAATTACTTAATCCTTGTTACTCTCTGAGGCATAAACAAGCAGTGAATGACTAGAATGTGGAGTTTTTGAGAGCTGTTTCAGAGAAATTTGCCTGTAAACGAGGGTGTCAAGTTCTACATGTGCTGTGTGGCAGTAGTAATAAGCCACATATTCAGAAGTAGTCAGCTGCATACAGAATTTGGGGAAGTTTTAGGTTTTTCAATATTATACTAGGCTTAGTGGTACACATCTAGACTGGGTGAAATCTTTATATTGAACATTTAAGTTCTGCTGTGTAGAACTTTGAGTTTTATTGAGAGTAGCTCACAGGTAGTGAAGTCAGGGTGCAGTTTACTCATCACCCAAAACCATGCTGGCAGTAACTCTTGTTGAGAAGACCAGATCCATTCCTACTGCCACCTTCGTGTTGTATTGATCCACTTGCCCTGTGGTTATGTGGCTCCCAGTTTGTTAGCTAAAATTTGAGCACATGTAGGGCAGCATGAGGGAAGTGCCGGAAGGAAGAAAGCAGTGGCATTGAAAAGGGAAGTAAAAGGCAGCTGCTTTTGCAGTCCAGGACTTTTGCTAAAGCTAGTAGTGTAACTTTAATTACATCTTATTTTTAAAAATTCCAGTATCTAAGTGTTTTAAAAGCCACTGTTCCACACACACATCTCTTGTCCTGACTCAATGTCTGCTGTGAACCCCCAAGTCAGCCAGCATAGATAAGTTCTAATTTACCTGTCTGATGCTGCACTCCTGCTGTTGGCCTGAGTCATAGGAGTGTAGCAAGGAGCTTTAGCAGCAGTGTTGACTTAAGGAGTTTTCAGTTCTCCTTTCCCTCTTTCCTTTGTGCCAGAAGAACTATTTATATGACCATTCTAGAACTGGATTTCAGATCCATTTAAACTGATCCAATTTAAATTGCTCGTTTCTAAAAATATATAGTCAGCAGCTTTTTTTTTCCATGTTTACAACTCATGCTGAAAACATTTGTCCAAACACTTATAAGAAGGCAAAGTGCTGCAGGACCAGGAAGGAAGGGAAATGCTTAAATGCCATTGCCATGGAAGCCGAACGATATTGGACGTGACATGGCTTGTTGCAGCAGTATATTGTGGTCATCCCTTCAAAGATACAGCCCTGCAGTTTAAGAAACGCTTTCTTAAGTAAAGGAGACTAAGTAATGCAAACCTGTATCTGCAGTGCTGGAAGCAAACGTTACTGAATCCTTATGTGCGTGGTTTGGCAGTTTGCCAAACATACAGACACTGTGGGATTATCTGCTAGAGAACTCTGTGATCTGTAATAATTGTGGCTCTAACTTCACAATACAAAGTATTCAGCCACAGTATGTGCTTAAAGCATTTGTGTTTTTATGATGGCAGAGAGGAGCCTCTGGTGGATTCTGGGAACCATCCTTGTCCTGAAGGGTTAGGCTGTTGATTCTTCATAGCTCACTGCGTAGCAGCTGATTGGCACGTACGGAGCACAGCCTCCCAGAGCGATTATCACCCCTGATCCAGCAGATCAGAATAGCAGCTCAGAAGCAGGAAGAACCAACCCACTATTATCCAGTTACAGTACATGAAGTTTCCACTGATATTTTTACTTCTACTTTTGGCGGGGAGACAGGAAGGCCACTGCTGATCTTATGTCATATCTGCTCTGGTGTGTTGAGGTGATGTTTTAGAGCCAAAGGGTGTACGTATGCTAGGATGCTCTGCTGAATAACACTTGCGTGATGACTGTTGCTGTTTCAGACTCTAGTTGAGAATTGTGTTGACAAATTTACACCAGTTTTGAAGATGTTTTTATTTTTTTTGTCTCTATAGGAAGCTGCAGACAAGATCTTGACTTGGAGTTGTTATTGATATAGGATTATTTTTTGTTTTTGAAGAGCACCATAGTTAATACTTGTCTTTGAAGATGTTCAAAACCTTATGAGTGTTTCTAGGCTCTCTGAGAAAACACTTTGTTCTCCTTTAAAAGTAAAATAGAATTTTCCCAATGGTCCATCCCTGGACGTATTCAAGGTCAGGCTGGATGGGGTACTAAACAGCCTGGTATAGTGGAGGGTGTCCCTGCCCATGGCAAGAGGTTTGGAACTAGATCTAAAAGATCCCTTCCAACCCAAACCCTTCTATCTAATTGGAGTTATTAAATAGCTGGCTAACCAAAGATTAGGAAACAGATACTCCACTGTTTTGAAATTCTTGGAAGGGCAAGTAAACAGCAGCAATTTCCTAAAGCAACCTTTCATTAGAAATATTTCCTAAAAAAGATTCAGAAGTAGAGTGTAAAAGTAAGTGCTTCTGAAGCATTGCTAAAGAAGGGCTTGTTAAATGTTAATCTTTTCCTGCTGTAAGAACTTCATGTTTCTAAATAGAAGCCCTCATCCCCTCACTTTCCCATAGCCTGTTCCTGTAGAATTCTTCCAAAACTTCCGTATGCTCCATGGTCCTGCATCTTCTTGTTCTTGCTAGGGTTTTTGTAAATGCTGGGGTGAGGGGGGAAGCCAGATCTTTATCGAAAGGTAGAAGTTAGAATTTTTTCCTGCAGTTTAACATGGCTCACCTTCATAGGCTTTGTCCTGGGTTTAATGGGAAATAAATTAAAACAATAACCTAAGCAAATATTCCCTGAAAAAGAAGTTATGCGAAGTATTGATGAAGTCTCTCACTGCCATGAGATGTTGTCAGTAAATGGCAGCACTGCAAAACACTGAACTTAAGACAGTTTGGTGTAGGCATAAATAATTTATTATCTCTCTTGCCTGAGGAAATAAGTGTTTTCTTGTCCACTACAGACTTAAAATACCTTAAATTGCAGCAAGAAAATAATTTCAAAATAGATGTTAGGCAAATTTTGCAGTAGTGATGATAATATAGCATTTAAGTAGATTGCCTGGGGCACAGTAA